CCTTTTTAAAAGAGTGCCTGGCAAGTGTTGCTTCAATGAGGAGGGGAGGATCTGTTGGCAATACTGTGGACCAACCAAAGGTGTCGAGGATGGAGCCCCAGAAAACAGATGCAAATAGGCAAGTGACAAATAGGTGCTGTTGGGTCTCGGAGTTGGATTGGCAGATTGTGCGCCATTGGAGGGATAAAGCCAAATGAGGCAGCYGTCTTTGGAGTTTATCACTAGTGTTGATGGCACGGTGACTGAGCTCCCAAAGAAAGAATTTCACCTTTTTGGGGTAGGAGTCTTTCCAAATAACTTCAGCAAGTCGTGGTGAGGGGTCCGGGTTTTAGTGTGTGAGGTCTTTGATAAGAGAGTTGGTTGAAAAGATACCATTTGTTTCCAACTTCCAAAACATGAGATCAGCGTTTGTGGACAAATGGACAGCAGAGAGCTGTTGGAYGAGAACCATCCATTCAGCGATTTCTGCATCCTTTAAGTGTTTTCTTAGACCCAAATTCCAGCAGCCTGTTTCTTCCTCCGGAAGATCCTTTATGGAAGCCTCTTTTTTCATGGATAAGGCAAAGAGAAGAGGCGAATGTTGTTCCAGTGTTCCAGCATTCAACCAAGGAGCTTTCCAAAATGGAATGCTGCGACCATCACTGATTTTATAAGCCAGCTGTTAAAAAACCAGGTTCTGTCATCTGTGTCTTGAGAATTGCTTTCCAAGGCCGTTTACTAGATGGAAGGGTGGTTATTACAGCAAGATGTGAATCTTGTTGGATCAAAAGTTGTTGACATTGTAAATATTGAAAACTAACCCTTGAAATACTTCATGGTAATATACATTTGGTATCCATAATTGATATGTTTATAGGGAACTTTACTCATCGAAGTGTTCAAAGAATGAATTGAATGCGTTTTTTGGTTGGTTATTAACCCATAATTTCATCTGCAGGTTGTTTCCCCTTTATRAAACTTCATTGTTTAGAAGTGAAGGGCAGAGATCAGAGAACTTTTTGGTAACCTCAAGTTCTGATCACTCAATTCGATTTTGGTGGAAGGTAGGGGCTGAAACAATATCATGAAATCATGAATTGGTCCTGATATGGATTCTCTGTCGCAAGTTGATATTATTTACATTTTTGTTCACTTTGTTTTTCCCTGATCATATTTTATTGGGCTAAGTCTGAAAATCTGTTGGCAATTTTCATGGAATTATCAATTTGGAGCTGATATCATTATTCTTTCATTCTTTCATTTGTTTTTCAATGTTAATATGGTTTTAAGTTTATGAAAAAATGATCTCCGAAAGGCATTTCCCCAAATGATCTCAAACCCCTAACCCTTTGTCGCACCCTTGCCTTTTTTAGGGTTCTTGTCAGCGATGTTTTCGAGGTCATAATGGCCCCATCTCAACTCTGTCTGATAAACTGTTAGGTGATGATAGCAGCAAAGTATTGGCCAGTGGAGGCGAAGATGGTACAGTTCGTCTTTGGTCTCTTAGTTCCAGTGGCAAGCGAGGCAAGAGTGCTTTAATGGTTACACTTCATGGACATGGGAGACCAATTAAGTCAATATCAGTTGCAGGGTGGGCACACAATTTACTTAATAAATGTTCTAGTTAACCACTTAATTCTTTTTAGTACCGGATGCTAATTTTATTTCATTTGGCTTTCTGAATTAYGAGTTATATCATATACGACGATGCTTTCCCATATTTTCACTTTCTAAAGCTTATTGTAAATCACTATCTAATGAGCGTGTATTTTCTAGGTCTCTTGTATTCACATCAGATCCCTTCCTATAACAGGATAGAGATGTTTTAAGATCTAAATGTTGACTGGGTATAGACTTGAAATCCTTTCACTTAAAAGTTCATCAAACCTAGATATAAGGATTTGGAATATTTAGGCTGATTGAATTCACAGTTGGAATAGCACGTATGCTTTAATATTAAATTCTGATTTCCAACACTGTTTTGATAGATTTGGCTCTGTTGTCAATGCTATGTCGATTAACTGTGATCATTTTCTCATAGTAAATTCATGTGTGCGCATGGAAGTCATCCCAGAACTTCGTAACATATAATCTCAATTCTTGTAGCACTATCTCTGTTTCTACACATCATGGCAATAGCAACTCTCTTCTTTTGTTGAGCTCTATCATTATTTATGATGATATATTTTAACTTTTTTCTTCTTCTCTTGGTCATTGCATCCAGACATAAGACTTCTCTTTTGGTGAGCATTTCCAGGGATTCCAAGGTACTTTTTACCAACTTTTCAAGGCTTACCTAACTTAACGTTTTCTCTGTATATTCTTGAGGAAGTTCAATATTTTGGGGAGGTGAATGGTCGATTATTGTGTTCTTCCTTGTAAATATGTCACCTATGTTGTCATAACTTTTTGAACTTCATCTTTGTTGAATGGTCATATTTTAGGTGTCATGTCATACAGCAGTTCAGTCATCTTATTAGTCAATGGAGTTTTCTTATGTGACCCTGGTTATTTTATTATATATCTTGAAGCAGTTAGATTAAGAGGAAACTGAGGGGAATCAACTCTTGAAAATTCTGGAGTGATTTTAGCAATTACTTGCAAGTTTGCAAGTTTAGGTACATAGCATGTTTAAGTGGAAAAATGTTCTTGGTCATTTGATCTTATTGAATATTGAGTGACAAATTGAATCGAACTTTCATTGAGAAAAAAAAAATGAAAGACAACAAAAGAACAAGCCACAGGACATACCAAAATAGCCCAAAACCAAAGGAGCTGCACACCTAACTATACAAAAAGAGGCTCCAATCCAAAATAATTAGACCTAATTGATAATTATAGAAGTCCTTAGAGAAAGATGCCCAAGTAGAGGCATTAAACCTATCCATCGACTCACTTCCTCTCAAAGTCTCTCCAAATCTCTAAAAATTCTATTGTTTCACTCTAGCCAAACTCCAAACGATCGCAAATAAACCAGCTTTCCACAAATATTGGCCCTTGTGGCTGAATGTGGAGACTCAAGGATCTCTTCCACCACAGACCTACACTCCCTGCTTTGAGCCAAACAAACAACTAACGTATAAAAAAAAGTTGTCCTGAACTTAGGAAGCAAATTGACAACCCCAAAGGAGATGTGTCAGATTCTCGGCCATGTTCCACCATATACAACACCACTGCAGCCCACCACAAAAGAAGAATGCTTTGATACCCTCCCAAGTAAAACTTACCACCCAAAGAATTTGACCTCTTTGGAATTTTGGCCTTCCACAACCAGGAGTGGAAAGAAGGGCATCCAGAGGGGGAGGAATCACACAGGATAAAAATAATAGCTACAAGAAATCAAACAGGCAATCATTATTTCGTCT